CACACACACACACACACACACACACACACACACACACACACGAGCACACACACACGAGCACACACACACACACACGAGCACACACACACACGAGCACACACACACACGAGCACACACACGAGCACACCCTAACGTACGACGGTGTGGAAGCCGTCGAGCTGGACACGGTACTTGTCATCGCCCAAGACGTCCATGACGTGGCCTGGGAAGTACTCTTCATGCTCAAACTGGTACACGTAGCACGGCTGCCCCTGCTTGAACACGGGGTGCCGGAGATGTTGTGCATATGCCATCACAAGCAAGCGTGCAGCCTGCTGCACGATGCTGCTGGCCTCAAACGCGGTTGCCACCGCAAACGACGCCTGTGCATCAAACCCGGCATCCAACAACGTCTCCTCCACAACGCTCTGGGCCAGCTGCTCCGCCCGGTCCGACGACAGCAGATATGCGCCCTCCTCCGCAGCCGTGATCATCTCCGCAGTTGACCGCGCCTCCAGCGGCACGTGGGCCTGATCCTCATTGCCAGCTACCTCGCCATCATCCCGCACCACCCTGTCGTCGCCAGCGTCATCGCCGTCGCCAACGTCCTCCTCCCCGTCCAGCATGAGCGCGATGCGTTCCAGCAGCACCTCCAGCGCAATTGCGGCGCAGTACTCGGCCGTGTCGGCGTCCTTGACCGTGCTCTGGAAGCAGCTCGTCGTGGTCTTCACAAGCCGCTCCCGCTTCGTGTCCTCATCTTCCCCCAGCTCCCTCGCAACGTCTTGGAACCGCATGAGATCGCGTGTTGGTGGTGGTGGTGGTGGTGGCTGTTGGCAAGTCTTCTGCCTCTGCTCAAGAGCGTAAATGGTGCAGCTTTTGTTTGTGTTTTGCAGTTGCGAGATGCAAAGATTGCATAACCGCTGGGTGTATGTATTCGGGACGCTTCGTGTGTTATGTTATTGTTACGACCACCACGACGACCACCACGAGGGCGAGAGCATGGATAGCACAGGGAGCAGTGGGCGACGATAGCTGGACGAAGTGTGGTGGTGGTGGTGGTGGTGGTGGTGGTGGTGGTTTGGGAAGATGAAGGTAGCAGCGGCCCATACGGCGACGATGAGCGTGACGGCGCCCGTGAACGCGGCGAGATGGCGCAGCGACAAGTAGTAGCCGCTCGACACCCTGATATCATCAAACTGGAGAGAGTGGATGTGTGTGTGTGCGTGCGAGCGTGCGTGCGTGCGTGTGTGTGTGCGTGTGTGTGTGTGTGTGTGTGTGTGTGTGTGTGTGTGTGTGTGTGTGTGTGTGTGTGATTGTGAGAGCACGACGTGGATGAGGCACAGGTTGTGACAGACGGGAATGGAGGAAGAAACACACACACACACACACACACACACACACACACACACACATGTGCGGGCACAGGGCTGACAGTAGACTCGCCCACCACCGCCACACACCGCACCGTGTCTACTGCAGCGGTATTGCGCGTTCTCGCCTCCGCCAACAGCGCCCGATATCGTGCATCCACATCGCTGCTCGTGGTTGTATGTGGGGGTGGGTGAGGGAGAGAGAGAGAGAGAGAGAGAGAGAGAGAGAGAGAGAGAGAGAGAGGGAGAGAGAGAGAGAGAGAGAGAGAGAGAGAGAGAGAGTGTGTGTGTGTGTGTGTGTGTGTGTGTGTGTGTGTGTGTGTGTGTTGTGTGAGGTCACCTTGTTCGAAGCATGCGCCGAAACTCTGCCTTGTCACATAACCGCAGCAGCCGCGCAGGCGCTATTTCGTCCTCAAGCGACTTTGCATCCGCAAGCACCGCCTGACACAGACGTACAAAAGCAGCGGTGTGTGTGTGTGTGTGTGTGTGTGTGTTTGTGTGTGTTTGTGCGTGCGTTTGTGTGCGTGCGTGTGTGTGTGTGTGTGCGTGTGAGCGCGTAACTTGGGCCATGATAGGAAAGGGTGAGTAGGGGGGTGAGCAGTGCAGTGTCGCACCTCCCAGTCGAGGGGACCAAGCTTGGTAAGGTGCTGGTACACAGAGGCAAAGTCGCACTCCAACGCCTGAAGTTGCTCGCTCTGGGACAGCACAATCTTGGTGGTGTGGCAGAGGCAAGAGAGGGAGAGAGAGAAAGAGAGAGGTAGAGTGGAGCAAATAAGCAAAGAAAGGATGTCAGAAACGCACAGGAATGACATGACAGACGAGGCAAGACAGCGCATTCACGGAGAGACAGGCCAGAAAGAGACATTCATCCACACAGATAGACACATAATCATGCACACAGGTAGACACACGCAACAAACGGCTCACAGCGGCCGCGAGGTAGACGACAAAGTAAGGGTGGGAAGCGAGGCAGGCATCAAAGACACGGCAGCGGTCCTGGTGGTGGTTGAGCACGTGCGAGAACCACGTCACCACCCAGCTGATGGTAAACTCCCCGCCAATCTGCGCACTGCGGTGATTGCAGGCACGTTGGTGATGGCGATGAGGTGTGTGGTTCGAGAAAGCTCAGGCTGTTTGGTGTTGTAAACAGGTGCAAGCGCAGGGAGAGAGAAAGAGAGAAAAAGAGAGAGAGAGAGTGTGTGTGTGCGTGTGTGTGCGTGCGTGTGTGTGTTGTGTTGTGTGTGTGTGTGCGTGTGTGTGTGTGTGTGCGTGTGTGTGTGCATGTGTGTGTGTCGAGGTGACACCGACTTTGAGAGGAAGCGGAAGAGCGGGATATCGCGCTGTTGTATGAGGACGAGGGTGAGGTGCATCACCGGTGTCACCGTGGACAGATCACTGCCCATGAACGCTGGCAACACATACGCACACGCACACGCACACGTTCACCATATGCACACGTTCACCCACACGTACATGCACGCAAAATTAGAGTGAGCGGAACGGCGGAGGCGACGTGGCACTGCTCGTAGTCGCCATGTGTATGTGTGCGTGTGTGTGTGCGTATGTACACATGTGTGCGTGTGTGTGTGCTTGCATGTGTGCACTGCAACGCCCGCTGTCGCTCGTCACACCTTTAAGATGACATCGACACAAGCGGCACATGATGTTGAAGGTGGCATCGTCGTTGTCAAGCTCTATCAAAGGCACAGCCACCACATCATGCAATCCCTGGCGCAGTGCACATGAGTGTGTGTGTGTGTGTGCGGATGAGTTGAATGCACATCATCGAACACATATGTATGTGACAAGCAACGAGGGATGCATATCGAGCGGTGTAGATGGCACGCAACGACAAAGCGTCGCACACACACACACGCACGCACACACACACACAGACGCACACACACAGACGCACACACACACACACACACACACACACACACACACACACACACACACACACACACACACACACAGACGCACGCATACCTCTCTAGCCTGACCTGGTAGTAGTGCAAGTCTGGGTATTTGGTCATGAGGGCGTTGATGATCTTGGATAGGCGTTGACGCATTGCCTCACGCTCAGAGTCGGATGTGTACTGCCATAACGATCGATCCACATCCAGCTTGATCTGTTTGGAATACGTGTTATCCAGGCAATCTTCAAGCACGGCATTGAGCAAAGCCGCCAATACTCAATGAGACTGACAAGCCAACAACGATAACAACAACGACAACAACCGAATGGCAGGACAGACAACAAGCAGCTCGCACCAACCCCTCACACTCAACACGCAGAAAACCTCCCTCACACCAACACACCCACACCCACACAGAACCTCCAACGTAGCCTACAACACACACGTCACACGTAGAAATGAATGCCATGTGTAGAGCGAGCTGCACCTGGAAATGTGGCGGTCGCGCCTGGGTTCACGCCGAGCAACCGACACCATGCCACCTTCCGCACAGTTGCGGTGAGGAAGCCACCCTTTTCAAACGCCAACCTCTGAAGCGCCTCAACGTCCACCTTCACAGTGCATGTGCGTGTGCATGTGTGAGTGCGTGCATGCATGTGTGTGGATGTGGGTGTGGATGTGTGAGTGTGTCATCAGCAGTCGTGGCTTCAGCCATCATGTCGACACCATCAACCCATGTGTCACAGCACACACACACACACACACACACACACACACACACACACCACACTGGTATGGGGTTTCTTTTGTTCACTTCACCATGCTGCGCACTTACATGGGGTCCTTGGACGGCTGCGAGAACATCCTGGTGTCGCTGCTTGTGCTGTTTGGAGCCGCCTCGTCGGCGCACCTTCTGCCGCTGGCGGTGGCCGAGGCGGTGGCGGTGGCGGTGCGAGCACATTGCTGCCGTGGCTTGCTTGTTGTCTGCTGTTCTCTTTTTTGCTGCTGTCTGTTGCGTTGGCGCAGTCATGCTCGAAACTGCGATTTGTGCTGTCGTTATCTTTTGCTGAGTCAGCACACCCCCGCCACATGTGCTCATCAGATGACGTGAGGTTCTTCGTGAGTGTGCATCATCATCATCACCACTGCAGGCTGCCTTCTTCACTTCTTCAAGCACGCTGCTGCGTTCTTGCTTCTGGCTGGCCTTCTTCCTTCGTGTTGGTGCTGGTCGCTGCTGGTGGCGTGCCCTGTTTTGCATCAAGTCTTTGGATTGCGACAGCAGCAGCAGCAGCAGCAGCTCCCCCACTTCCTCATTCATTATCGTCATCATCATCACACGACACGCATCCACCCACACAGCCTGACCGGCCACTCTTGTGACCAACACACACCGCATCAGCCATCACAGCAAAGGAAACCCGAACAAGCGCCTTTTCACGCAACAAGCAAGCAAGCAAGCGCCATTTCTCCAACGCCACATCGCACGACTGTAACGCAACAACCACACACCACCACCCAGCTGATCCTCAACAAGCCACACCTGCTGCTTCTCGTTCAAAGCATACTACAACCGAAACCAGAACAAAATGGCCCTGGTTGGAGAGAAGACCGAGCTCGAGGCCACAAGGCCTCAGGACACACGCATGGTCACCCCCACCACCGTCGCAGACTTTGTCATCCACACAGGCAACGTCCAAAGGTACTTTGTGAACAGCATGTGCACGTGCGTGTGAGGGCTGCCTGTGCGCCGTGTGTGCTGTATTCTCCGTCTTTGGTTGTGTCACCATTACACCGTGTACATGACCAGACAACAACAACAACAACAACAACAACAACAACAACAACAACAACAACAACAACAACACGACCGCAGGCTTCCCTCTTGCTGCTGTGTTGTCGTTCATTGTCGTTCATTCATTGCCTTGCCAGACTGTGTGTGGCTGTGATGATGTCCTTGGTGTGCGTGCTCACACTGCCACGCTGCCACACTGCCTTTGCTGCTCTTTCTTTTCTCCCTTGATTGTGTGTTCCGCCCTTAGGTGCAACCATCTTCAGGCGCGCGTGCCCGCAACTCTGCAGCGCGAAATCACCACAGCTCTCAAGTGCACCATGCAGTGTTGGAAGAAGCACAACAAGGGCGACTTTGTCATGTCCCGCGAGGTGTGTGTGTGTGTGTATGTGTGTGAGCGTGTGTTTGCGTGCGTGTGCGTGTGTGCATACGTGCATAAATGCGTAAACGTGTGTGCGCTTGTGTATCGGCAACTCTGGGCCACCTCAACGCGCTCTCACATCACTCACGCACATTCACGCACAATGCCGCTGTAGGTCATTGGGCACCCAAAGCTCATGCGCGTGCCTCTGTCTGGAAACGCAATGGCAAAGCGCGTCCGTGTCAAGCTCTTCATCCTCGACAAGTTCGAGGAAGGCATCGTCAGCAAGGCTCTCACCGGCGGTGCGTTGTTGTCGTTTGTCTTCATTTGTCTTCATTTGTCTGTTCGTTCCTGCAGTTTGTGTTGGTGTTGTTTTTCTGTTGTTTGTTCGGCACCGGTGCTTGCTCCTTCCCTGTCTCTCCGCTGTGTCGACTGCGCCAGTCAGCCACAACTGCTGGTCCAACAGCCCAGCCCAGGGTGCACTCGACCTGTTTTGCTCTCATGCCATGATGGTATCATCCTCACTCTGCACCACGACCACACCAACCAACGTGTACAGTTGAGAAGGCGGTGGGCTTCGCCGGTGTCGACACACTTGTGGTTGATATGAAGGCTGCTGGCGGTGCTGAACAGCATGAGGAGGAGGAGGCAGGGCGCGATGGCGGCCGTGACCTCGTCGCCGCATGGCGCGAAATGGAGAACCTGCATGATTACGGCCTCGCCAAATCCCTTGGCGTCGCTGACCTTGATACTGACACCCTCCAGCATCTCGCCTCTGTCGCAAAGGTCAGATACATGCTCCTTTCCCTGGTTGCCCTTCCTCCGCCCACCCTGAATAACAACAACAACTTCAACAACAACTTCAACAACAACAACAACTTCAACAACTTCAACAACTTCACACGTGCACTTGCCATAACTGCTCACGCCATGTGTTGTTGTGCTTTTCTCCCTCTGTCTCGCTCTCTCACCTCTCTCACCTCACACACACGCACACTCACTCACTCACTCACTCACTCACTCACTCACTCACTCTCCCCCCCCCTCTCCTGCGCCTGCTTGCCTGGCTGTGACAGGTCCCCGTTGCCGTCAACGAGGTGGACCAGCAGACGCGCTGCGCATCGCTGCCCTCGTCCCTCCGCACATATGCACGCGAGCACGGCATTCGCCTTGACGCCCACAGCGACGCAGGCCACCCGCTCCCTAAGCAGCAGTTTCAGAAGATCATGACCAAGGTGATCAAGGACCAGAGCCTGTTCACCCCCGGTGGCGAGCACACGCCTGGCGGCGACACACCCGGCACGCCCGGCTCTGCTGTTGGGGCTGCGCTGCGGGTGGACTGGACTCCCAGATGGGTTGCGCGGTACACCGTCGTTGACACGGAGCGCTCTGTCGTTGACTCAACCGGTTTTGTGATTGGCGGCCGCTACATCGTGTAACCAGACACGCCACCACCACAGCACCACAATGCTCATCACCCGTGATTGCTGCCGCTGTCCTGCTTTGGATCCACATCCCTGCTGTTCTTGTACGATTTGGGTGCTTGTCTCTCCTTCTCCATCCCCTTCCCTCCCTCTATCTCTTCCTTGGGCACAATGCGACGTTGTTGCTGCTGCCGCTACTGGCGCCGTTACATGCTGTGGTGTTCGTGGGATGCTTTTCATCTTTCTTGCCGTGTTGCATCAGCCTCTAGCTTTTCTCTCTTGCTGCTTTCATTGATTGCGTTATTGCCGCTGTGAACACCCGCTTGCTCCCATTTCTTGCCCGCCTCAGCTCCCCTCCTTTTCCCCAAAACGCACACGCCCTTGTTCTCGTGCCCCTAATTATCTCCTTCCTCCCTGTGAGCGTGTGTCTCACGAACCACGCTCAAGTTTCCCTTTGCACCCGTGTTCATCATGAGTGTTCGTTGGTGTTGTTGTGTACGCGCGCGCGCTTGCGACTGGTTGTTCCCATTATTCCCCTTTGCCTGGTATTTGCTTCCCCCTTCCCTTCCTCCCAGTTCACGGTTCACTTGTTTGCCGCTGCCTGCAATAATGCCACCCTTTGTTGTTTCATGTGCGCGTGCACGTGTGTCTTGTCTGTGCGCTGCACGTGTGTCTTGTGTGTATCGAGCTCATCAAAACCGCTTCCAGTGACCCTTTGAGTTCCCATTTGGTGGTTTTATGGTTCAGCTAACGCGTGCACACCCCCGTTGCCACGTCAATTAAAGACATCAGCCACAACATATCACACAGAATCACATCACCCCACACACAGCACCACAGCAAAAAACACGCACGAACCATGAGCGAAAAGCAAACAAACATGAGAAGATCAAGACAATTTCACACCAGCGGCAAGACAGCAGCTTCAACACATTTGGCAGCTGTTATCTACTGCTGCTGGTCCATGCCATGTTGTGCCTGCGCCCATTGCTGCGTTGCTGCTGTGTTGTCTCTGTTGCACTGCTGCGCCAACGCCTCCGCCGTCGGGCTCATGAACCGACGATCAGCATCGTCATCGTCACCTGCTCCGCCATCATCGTCTCCTTGCACAACGCCGTACACGGGCTGCTGGTGCTGCTGTTGTTGTTGTGGCTGCTGTTGTTGTTGTGGCTGGTGCTGTTGTGGCAGTTGTGGCTGTTGTTGTGGCTGTTGTTGCTGTTGTTGTTGTTGTGGTTGTTGTTGTTGTTGTTGTTGTTGTTGTTGTTGTTGTTGTTGTTGTTGTTGTTGTTGTTGTTGTTGTTGTTGTTGTTGTTGTTGTTGTTGTTGTTGGTAGGGAGCATCAAAGTCATATGGACCAGTCGCATCACCGCCAACAAGGTTGTTGCTCGTGCCTTGTTCTACTGTCACATCGCCTTCATTCCCACCGCCATCAGCTTCCGTGTCGTCACCATCACTACCATCATCATCGTCATCATCGTCTTCGCTGCTGTCGTCATCATCATCGTCACCATCGTCAATGTCATCGCGGTCTATGTCATTCCCAGCATCGCCATTGTCATCATCATCACCATCGTCATCATCGTCACGAGCATTGTTCCCATACTCGTCACCAGCCATAGCAGCCATTGCATCCATGCCATGTTGCGGCGATGGCACCAGCGGCATCCCATACGGCCCCAGCCCAAGCGCTGGGGACTGGGCTGTATACGGGGAGCCAAGGCCACCACCGTACGCGCCCAGCGCTGCGGAGCTAAAGGCTGGATTCGTGTACCCTTGCAAGCCAGCCATGAACGGGGGAGGCACAGCTGCAGCGAAATTTGCCCCACTCGTGCGACTGCGGTCCGCGCTAACGCCGCCAGCGTCATCAGTTTGCCGGTGCTGCGAGCGCTGCTGCTGCTGTCTTCGCCGCCTCCGCTGCTGGCGCCGCCGCTGCTCCTGCTGCATGGCGTGCTGCTGCTGAAGAAACAGCTGGTACTGCATCAACTGCGCTTGAAGCCACGGGTTCGCCAACAAGGGTGGCATCTGCCCGGGCGACTGCTGCTGCTGCTGCTGCTGCTGCTGTTGCTGTTGAAGCAACTGCAGTTGTTGCTGCTGTTGCAGCATGTGCTGGACCTGCAACAGCTGCTGTTGAACTTGTCGCAGGGTAGGCTGCAGGCCAGGTGCGGCTGTGTATCCAAACCCAACGCCCCTTGCACGTCTCCGCTCACCACCGCGCCGGCGGTCGGGTTTCCTCTCGCGTTTCCGTGCTGCACCTTCACTGTCACTCTCCCGCGTGCGGTGGCGGGGCCGCGCCATGCCCGACGCGTCCCGCATCGGCAACATGGGCGGCTGCATCAGCGGTGCTTGCTGCTGCTGCTGCTGCTGCTGCAGGGGTTGTGGCTGTTGCTGCTGCATCTGTTGCTGGAATTGCTGCTGCTGCTGCTGCTGTGTGCTCATGTCCTGAGAAACGGCCATCTCTGCCACGCCCTCGGTGTCCTCGATCGACCCGCCAGGCAGCGGCACGAGCGGCACATATTGCATGCCTTGCTCTGTTTGCACCAGCCCCAGCTGCGGCTGCACATACCCGGCACCCGCCATTCCCTGAGGAAATGCCATGGGTAAGCCAGGAGGGGTAACCGCAGGGAGCATGCCAGGCACAACGCCGCCAGCAGTCCCTGCCACAGCCATGGGCGCTGCAGGGAAGGCGCGCGGCAACTCAGACTGTTCCTCTTCCTGTTGTTGTTGTTGTTGTTGTTGTTGTTGTTGTTGTTGTTGTTGTTGTTGTTGTTGTTGTTGTTGTTGTTGTTGTTGTTGTTGTTGTTGTTGTTGTTGTTGTTGTTGCTCTACTGGCTCAGTGGTTGTGAGGTCCGGTGGCGCTGTGCGAATCGAGCCCGTGCGATCTCGTTCAACATCTGCTTGCCGCTGTCCCTGCACACTCAAACTCCCACCTTGCCCCGCGTCTTCAGCCAGCGTTTGCCGTAGCTGTGGCTGTTGCTGCGGTAGCTGTTCCGGCTGCTCCTGCTTGTCAGTTTGTTCCTGAGATTGCTGCTGCGTTGTGTCGTCTTGTTTGCCTTCTTGCACGGCCTCGCCCTGCCTCAGCTGCGACTGCTGCCGGCCCTGGGCGCCTTCAACATGCTGCTGGGCGTGGGAATTGACCGACGAATCCACATCATCGGTGCTCATGCCGCGGGGCACCGACGAAGCGGACACCACCTGCCGCTGTCGCTGCTCATCGACGCCACCGCCCCCACCGCCGGGGCCAGCGCCTTGTTCACCTTCATCTCCACCTTCACCCTCATCGTCATCACCCTCCCCTTGCGAGAGCTCCTGGAACAGCCGCCGCAGATCGTTGATCTTCTCGGGCAGCACATCCACTCGCTCGCCCAGCATGAACCTGAGCAGCGATTTGACGCGCGACATCTCGGCCTTGAGCCGCTGCACCTCTTGCTCCGCTGCTGCTGCCCTGCTCGCTTCCTCATGTACACGCGCGCGAACTTTGAGGCGTGGGCTGCGGGCCAGGGGCGAGACGCTGGGTGCCTCCTGTCGCCTGCCACCGTGTGGCTTGTCCTCGGGCTCCGCACGCCTGCCGCCGCTGCTGCTGTCGGGATGCACGGGCGTGACCGCGTTCACAGAGCGCAGGTCACCACCATCGCCGCCACCACCAGCACCGCGCCCGCGAGGCGACGGCGACACAATGCCGCGTCGATCGTACTCGTATGTGGGCATGCACTTCTTCAGCTCGTTGACTTGTTGCTGCAGGCTGGCCACGTGGTCCTCAAGCTTCTCCACCCGATGTTCCGAGATGGGCACGTCCTCCGCCACCACGCCCTTCTGCGCCACAGTCAGCGGCGACTTGCGCCCGCGCGTCACCTGCGCAGCCGTCTTGCCGAGCAGCATGGCCGGATCAAGCACGCAGCCTTCGTCGTCCATGGTCACAGACTCGTATGCGTCAAGCAGCAAGTCCTTGTCTTCGCCAGAGAGCAGCTCCATTTGCGCATCCGTCTCGCTGTGCAGGCGCGAGTTTGGTGTCCCCGGTTGGGCACTTCGGTCGCCAGCTGACTCTTCTTGCACCTTCTCCACATCTTGCTGCGCCTGCTGCTCTTGTTGCTCTTGTTGCTGTGCATCCTCCTGCTGCTCCTGTGCATCCTGCTGCTGCTGCTGCTGCTGCTGCTGCTGCTGCTGCTGCTGCTGCTGCTGTTGTTGTTGTTGGTGCTCACCATCCGCCGATTGTGTTGGAGTGGCACTTGCGTCGTCATCACGGCCAGCATTGCTTGCTTGGACCAACAGACCCTCTGCTGCTGCTGCATCCCTAGCATCGGGAGCAGCATCAACATCACCAGCATCAGCATTACCGTCATGACGGCTGTCGTCGTCCTGTGCAGGGGTGTCTGGCAGGTGCTCGTTGTCATCGCCAGTGCCGGGTTGTCCGACAGGAACAGCTGCTTCCGCGCCATCACCATCCCTGGCATCACCGTCGCCACCGGGTTGGCTGTCATCACCATCAGCGTCATCACGGCTGTCAGTGCCATGGAAGGCCGACTCCCCGCGCTGCGACTTGTCGCTAACATCCCCGTCCTCGGCGGGCTGCTGCTGTTGCTGGTGGTGGTGGTGTTGTTGTGAGAGTGCAGGTGTCTGCGGTTCATCGGCTGCCATTGTGGCTGTGCCGCTCTCATCACCGTCGCCGGCGTTGGCGCGGTCACCATGGCGCTCCTGTGTTTGCTCCTCTGTCTCCTCTTCGCGCGGCCGCGGTTCTTGTTGCTGCTGGTCCTGCTGCGCTTGCTGCTGGTCTTCAGTGACCTTGGTGTCTGCGTTAGCAACGGCAGCGGCGACAACACCGCTGCCACGGCCCTTTACGCTGTCTGGAGAGGATGGCGTGTCGAGCACATCGGCCACGGAAGCGGACGGGTCCAGCTCGCGCTCGCAGTTGCGAAGCCACTCCTCCTGCCGCTCGGCGCTCATGTTGGCAAACAGCACGCGGAAGAGGCAGATGAACACGAAACGCGAATCACACTCCTGGATCAGGTTCATCTCCACCAGCTCACCAACAAACTTCAGCGCCTCAGAGAACGGCGAGTAGAGCTCTGTCATCCGGTAATGATGGTGGTGGTGGTGGTGGTGGTAGTCGAGTGCGTGAGCGCAAAGGAAAGATTCAAGGCTACTCCTTGCCCCGGTGGGGAGGGGGAGGCAAACACACAGCACGCACGCACACACGCACGCGCGCGCACACACACCAGATGTGTACATGTGAGCATACATACGCACCAGGGATTGTGGTGGAAACGTTGCGAAAGAGGTAGAAGGAGTCGTATTCGTCATTCTGGGCTGCACGACCAACTTGCGGTCCTTGGGTGCCATCGTCTGGGCAACCAACAAGAGAGCAAGAGAACAAGACAAAGAGGCACGTGAGAACGGGGGAACATGGCAATGGGGAAGCAAGACAGCAAGCAGATGGTACTGCCAGTAGACAGCTCAAAAACAGACGACGAGAACGCACGAGTCACAACACGAGAACACTCAAATATGCATGCACGACTGCAAGAGCACAAGCACACACACGCACACACACACACACACGGACACGCACACACACACGGACCCAAGCACTCACATGAACGGGCACAAGCACACACACGCACGTACGCACGCACGCACAAACACAGCTACAAACCAACCTTGGCCCTTGTCTGACAGCCCATCGATGGAACGAGAGACATCGACAACAATGCCAGAGCCAGTGTTCTGCCTGACGTGCCCTTTCTGTGGCTCTGCGACGTCTTCCCCGCTGCTGCCAATCCCTTCTTCTTCTTCTTCTTTTTGGTCATCCTCGTCTCCTTCGTCTTGATCAATTTCCTCAAAGCCATCAATGACAACGGCGCTCGGCTTGCCATCCAGAGCCAGCGGATCACGGCCATCATCGCCCCTATTGTCGTCGTTATCAGTTTCAACCTTCTCGTCCTGGTCATCTTCATTGTCACCACCGTCGTTGGCACCATCGCCGTTGTCACCAGCGACTCGCTCCTCAAGGGCTTCCACTTGCTGCTGCGACGATGGTGTCTGCTCGTTGCCTGCAGGCATGGTGCCAGCGCCAGTACCGGCATCCAGCACCATGACCTCTGTTGCGGGCACTTCCTCAATGGGCGACAGGTGCGCCGCGCCCTGCGTGGCCGGGGGCGGCGCTGTCAGCATGCGGTGGTGCGCGCTCTCGCTCTCGGATGAGTCATCATCCAGGCGGTCGACCTCGTGCACGACGACGCCGCCACGCAGCTGTCGCTCCCGCTGCAGCATGTCCGGCAGCGGTGTGCCTGTCGACGAGTTGTGGTTTGATGGGTTCGAGGCGCCAATTTCCTCCTCCTCCTTCTCCCCTTCGCCCCCAGGCACCGGCCGCTCTGCCAGGCTTGCGTTGAGGCTGCCACCGACCCACATCTGGCCTGGGCGCACCTCCACGGCCTCCACAGAGATGGCGCGGCTGTCACAGCCCGTCACGTCCACGGATATCGCAGAGAGCGATCCCTTCCCTGGCGACGACACCGCCGACGACTCGTCCAGGTCGCTGTAGTCGTGGAAGCTGGAGCCGTCCAGCGTGCTGTGAGATGAAGGCAGACGCAGCGGCGATGGCGGTGCAAGGCGGCCCTGGCGCCCGTGCCCTTGCTCCACGCCTGGTTCTGTTCCCACTGTGTCTGTTGCTCCCGTCGTCGTTGCGGCTGCGGCTGTTGTGTCCACGGGTGTGGATGTTGACGGGCCCGTGTCGCCCTGGGAGGCGCCACCATCCTCCAACACCATATCGTCAAGGTGCACCCCCGCCTGCTCCGCTCCCAGCGCAACAGTGCGCTGCGGCGTTGATGCTGCTGGTGGCGAGTGCAGCCGCGAGGGCACGTCTGAGTTAGGGAGAGACGAGGCTTGCTCTTCTGTTCCACCACCCGCACTTTCCGCCTGCTGCTGTTGCTGCTGCTGCTCGTGTGGTTGTGCGACGGGTGGTTGGGGCTCGCTCAAGGAGGGGACAGACACGGCAACAACGCTGGGCGATGGCGGCTTACTGTCCACGGGAACGGAGCTTGCCAAACGCCCGCTTGAGGCAGCTGTGTCTGTATCGGGCATACTTTCCTGCTTTGGCCTTCCTCCATCAATTTCCAACGTGTTGCCGTCGCTTCCACTAGCTGCACCATGTTCACCATGTTCATCATCATCACCATCACCATCATCATCATGGCCACCATCGTCATCATCATCCTCGATGGTATCCATGGCGACGAGGTCAACACCGTGCGCCGCCGTCGTCTCCTCACACAAGGTGTTCTCGCACTCCGTGTCTGTGTCGTCATCATCATCGTCGTCATCATCATCGCCATCGTGCTCCGTGTCTGTCACATCTGTGACTTCCTCGTCATCAGCCGTGCCCGTCTCCTCTGTCAATGCGCTTGCCTTCAAATGCTCACCGTCATCATCGTCGCCTTCACCATCAGCACTGCGCTGCTGGTCGCTGCCTCGTCGCTGTTCGGGGGCTTCGCTTGGCGGTGACGCGGTTGATGTGCGCTCGCTCGCGCTCTCAATCACAATTGCCGGCTTGCCCTCTTCAACAGCCTGAGCGTCATCGCCGTTGCCGACAGCATGTGCTCCTGGTGCACCCTCATCTCCATTGCTGGCGCTGGTGTCACCGCCATCGCTGCCGCCTACTTTGCCCTGCTGCTTCCGCTGCTGCTGCTGTGGGCAGTTGGCTCCAGGCAGTTCGTCTCCGGACGTGAGCGGTTCCATGATGGCGTGGATGCTGGTGCGTCTGCTGCTGCGCCGGCGTTCCATGCGCCGCGCACCGCCCACAGGCAGAGGGCGCGGGTGGCTGTGATGGTGATGGTGGTGATGATGATGACCGTGGCCATTGTTCTCCTCCTCATCCTCCTCCTCTGTCTCGTCAGAGTCGTCCTCGTCATCGTCTTCGTCGTGGTCGTCATCTGTCGTCTCGTGGCGCGGCACAGGCAGCTCCATCGCCAGCACTTCCTCCGTGCCAGAGCCAAGCAGCTGCAGCGCCTGTTCGCCCTGAGAAGCACCATCACCGCCACCCTTGCGCTCCTCTAGCTGCTGTTCTTGTTGTTGTCCTTGTGGTTGTGGCTGCTGCTGCTGGTTGGTGTCACCGACATCTTCGACGGTGCTCAGCTCATACTGCTCAAACTCCACTTGCTCGCCCCCATCATTGCCCTCCATTGTTTCGTCTCCTTCGCCTTCTGCTGCTGTGCTTCCCTGAAACACGTCGCCGTCACCGCCTTCTTCCTCATCTTCCCCCTTCCCTTCCCCTTGCGCCTGCTGGCCACGTTTTGCACCGCGCCGCCCACGCACCTCGCTCACATCAAGCTCGTCGCCGCTACTGATCATGGTGTTGTCTGCGGTCACAGAGCGGGAGGAGGCGAGAGCGTGCGCCGGGATGGTTTCATCACGGCCCTGTTGCGCTGCAGACGGCGACCTACGCGTCGCCACGTCGGGCAGCTGCACGGGAAGCAGGCGCAGGTGCAGCTGTAGCACGCACAGGGATATGTGGGAGAGAGAGAGAGAGAGAGAGAGAGAGAGAGAGAGAGAGAGAGGCGTGTGTGTGTGAGCTTAGGTGTTTGCGTGTGTGTGTGTGTGTGTGTGTGACGGCATGCAGACGGCGGCTTGCACTCGCAAAACATGTGTGAATGTGTTCTTGCAACTCCGGGTGTGTTTGCGTGTGGTTTTATGCAGCGCACCTCGACGATGAGCTGGTCCTCTGGTTGCTTGAGCTTGTGGAGATATGGTCCGAGATAGCTCGGCACATCCTGAACATGCAATCGAACAGGTGAGACATGAATACAAGCCAATGACAAGGCAAGAGAAGCGTTACAGCCTGATGCTCAGGTGTACGACACATGAGGCACACACAAGACAAGCTTCCCACGACACAGATGGGTGGAAACAAGTGGGACACCTGCTTGTTTGTAGGGATGGCGATGGCGTTGAGGTGCGAGCCGTATTCCCCGCGGCGCGGTTCCTGGCTTGCTTTGCTCAGGTAGATGCGCACACCAGTCACACCGTCCACTGGTGCACGCACGCGCATGAAGTGGTACAGGTAACGTAGAGAGGGAGAGGGTAAGTAGGGCGAGGTTGTGTGTGTATGTACGTGAGTGTGAGTGAGTGAGTGTGTGCGAGTGAGTGTGAGTGTGTGTGTGATGAGAGAGAGAGAGAGAGCGTGTGTGTGTGTATGTGTGCGCCATGGGTCGTGATGATTATGGGTGTGGCAACAGTGCAGCAATGCGTCGCGAGAAGAGCAAAAAGAGTTTCACATTATGACAGCAACATGAAGGCGCGGGCTATCATGTTAGTGGTGGTGGTGGAGGCTTACCGCGGCGACTAAGGGGCTTGTCGAGGCCAGCAAACATCCTATGGACAGGAAAGACACGAAGAGAGACAAGGAGAGAGCGTGTGTGATGATCAAGAAGGAAATGAGATGAATGTGTGAATGCGTGTGAGTGTGTGAATGCGTGTGAGTGTGTGAATGCGGGTGAGTGAGCGTGAGAAGATAGTAGGCAGGTAAGTAATGAAAGCTGTGTTTATAGACACGTGCGTGCATGGATGGGTGGAGGATGTACGAGTGACGAGTGGACTGTTGTGGGGCGCATGTGCTTACCGCAGCTCGGCAAGCTCCTTGAACTCGACCCTGAATCACAGCACGCGAGCAAGTACGATGACACGCGGTAAGAGTGAGCTGGTGCTGTAGATGGGTGGCGCAACGCCAGAAAGCGCACGCATATGATCTTGGAGCCACGACAGCGTCACCGCACTCACATCGGAAAGTGCATGAAGGACAACAACAAAACAACCAAACCCCCACACACGCACCCATCCACACGATGACCTACTCCTGTGGGTGCCAGTCGTAGTTGCCAGAGAAGGAGCAGTGGATTGGGGCGCACTGACACGTGCGCGTGTGCAAGCAGGCCGATTGTGCCTTTGCCCGGTCCCCAAGCGCTGCTGCGTTCTCTTTGTTGGCGCCATCCTTGCGTCTGCGCGTGTACTGCTGACGAAAGTGCGACATGATGGCTTGCGTCATGTGCCGGTTCTTCACGTTGAACGCGCCAACCTCGCGAAGATACAGCATGCACATCATCGTCAGGCTCGGCACCTGCACAGCAGTTGGTTGGTGGTGGTGATGGCGGTGGTAGTCAAAGGTGTCAAGTCAGAGGGTGAGCAATGTGCGGCTGGGGTGTTGTGTGTGTGTGTTTGTTTGTTTGTGTGTGTGTGTGTGTGTGTGTGTGTGTGTGTGTGTGTGTGTGTGTGTGTGTACACTGCTGTTTGTGAGGTTCGTTGTTGTGGGCAAGCACGTTCAAGCAATCATGGTGACTCTCACCTCAAACACCCAGGACTGCTTCTGAATGGACTCAATTGTCGGTTCCTCAGACAGGAGATGAAGCAGAAACTCCTGCCAACGCAAAGTCGTGGTGGTGGTGGTGTTGTGAGCGTGAGCGTGAGCGTGTGTGTGCATATGTGTGGGTGATGACACATAGAATACCCGATGAAACCACGTGAAGACGAGCGGGGAAAGGCGTTCTCTCCCCCGGTCGGCGCACGAGCTTACCAGCAGTCTGCCGCGCTGTGAGCCAATCAGATCCTTGGCATGCTGGTCCTCCGTGATCTTCTTCGTGATGCATGCAGGCACACGGCTGTCATGGATGTGTGTGTGTGTGTGCGTGTGTGTGTGTATGTGCGCTTGTGTGTGAACGCCTTGCGACAAAGATTCGCCCACGTCATCCAGCGTGCAAAGCATTGATGCCATCAATGCAGCAAGAAGTGCATTGGTGTGAGTTCTCGCCCTGTCCTCAGACGCCGCCATTTGCGACTCACTGCTCAAGCTTGTAATCGAGCTTGTCAGGGCGGTCCTTGAGTTCGGCGTATGTCTCCTTGCCAAATGTCAGCTCCGTCAGCACCATCCCGACAGCATAAATGTCGTCAGCAGTCTTAGGGCATGGTGGTGGTGTTTGGTTGAGGGGGGGGGGCGGAAGATGTGACGTAGGATGAGGAATGAAAGGTGCGCGGGAGAGATGGAACGTAGGGGTGGCAAGGTGAAAAAACAAAAGAATAGTGCAACAGCTCAGTCAAGTCACACATGAAAAACTCCAACTCATGGCACACACACACACGCACACGCACACGCACACGCACACACACACACACACAAGGCTGCGGTGGGCGACGCGAACGCAAGCATACCTCTGTGCTGAGCCCCTGGAGGGATTCCGGGGAGCGGTACATGAGCTCGGACAAGCTGATGCGGTCGTCTTTGGGGCCTGACGAGTTGATCTCCTTGATGCGCGTGAAGCAACCTGGCAGTGTGTGTGTGTGTGTGTGTGTGTGTGTGTGTGTGTGTGTGTGTGTTTGTGTGTGTGTGTGTTTGTGTGGGGGGTGGTGGCAGTGGTGGTGATGACGATGATGATGATGACGATGACGATGGTGTTCGTGATGATGGTGTCGTAGAGGGAGGCAGCGACGTTCACAGCAACCAGTTGCACACACAGCTGTATTGTCTTCCTTCAAGTGTGTGCATGTGCACATGTGAGGTGTGTATAGCGTGTTGGCTTACCGCAGGAGAGCTTGATGCCGCCCTTGATGTCAAAGAACATGGTGTTGGGTCGGATATTGCCATGATGCAGCCCGGCCTCGTGCAGCAGCCTGACAAGCAACACGAGCACGACAAACGTGGGAAGATGAGGCACTGTTGTGGCGATAGCACGCATGATGCGCATTGCGGCGAATGAATATGCATAGCTGTGCGCGCACATGTGCAAGTGCAAGTGCAGAGTGCGAGCAAACGGACTTGAGGGTCTCGACGAGCTGACGGCACCAGCGCTTCATCACCACAAACTTCTCGTGTCTGCACATGAGGCAATAAAGGGGCGTGAGGCGCTGTGATGAATGGCAGGAGATAGAGTAGATAGTGCTATGCACTCGAGCGACAGGACGCCACTGTACACGAACGTGTTTGCAAGTACACGCGCAAGAACACATGCACACATGTACACACAAACACACACGCAGGTACACACGCACTTTTCCTCAGTGTGTGTTTCGAGGTTCCGGATGTAGTTCTTGACAGAGCCACCCGCCGCCTTTTCCGTGATGATGACCACGCGAATGTAGCTGCTGGCGTCCGTGTGCCAGTGGTCGTACAGGCGCAGCAGCCCATAGTCCTGTGAGGGATGCAGCCGTGAAAGCAGGTCGCCCAAGGTGAGCAGAACGTGCATCCAAAGAAGACGCACGAATGGAAGCAGAGCAGTTGGCACAGGAGGCGGGTTTGTCCAAGCACAATGATGGCACGGCGCACATACGTGAATGTTTCGCCAGGCCCGCAAAATCGTGTCAATGTTGATTTTCTGTCGCCAATCCATGTGTGTGTGAGTGAGTGAGCGTGTGTGTGTATGTGTGTGTGTGAGTGAGTGAGTGAGTGTGTGTGTGAGTGTGTGTGTGTGTGTGTATATGTGAGCGTGAGTGAGAGAGAGAGAGTGTGTGTGTGTGAGGGGTGAACTGAAGAGGTGCAGACACAGACACAGGCTGATGGGAAGTAAGTGTACGCTGACGCGCCAAACAGCCACAAAACATGAAACAAGCAAGTAGGGGGTGCACAACGCTGCAGCACGCACGGTGTTGTTGATCTCTTCCGCTGTCATTGCTCGCCGTTCGCCAGTGTCGGGGTCCGTAATCTTGGTCTCAATGCGAGACACGTTCCAAAACGCACTGTGCCCAGTCACTGCCCACACACAACAAAAGTACAGGGTGCACGTGTGTAAGTGCGCGCGTGTGTTAACGTGTACATGTGCGTGCATGAATGTGTGTGAATGAGTGTGAATGTGCGAGAGCATGCGCTGCTGCGAGAAGAACAAAAGGAAGTGCAAGCAGTACGGCAGCAGACAGGCAAACGACCACACTCTCGTTCTTGCAAAACGCAGTCCACCTCTGTATCGTACTTGTGCTGACGGATTCGAACGTGGCGTCAACACCAGCAAACAGCGGCTTCTTCAGCTGTTGATTGTTACAAGCAAGCACGAATACAAGGATGAGCACACGCACACACTCACACACGCACACACACGCACACACACGCACGCACACACACGCACGCACATGCACGCACACGCACACACTCACACACGCACACACACGCACACACACGCACGCACACACGCACACATGCACACACGCACGCACACACACACACGCACACACGCACGCACACACACACACACACACGCACACATGCACACACACGGGCCAATGGCTGTACCGAGTCGAGGCGCTTCCACGCTCCGTCTGGACTGAGGGGATCTTCCTTGGCCTCGTCCGGGATGGCCGCACCGGCTGTGTGCTGCACCTCAGCTTGGGCAGTCGGCACAACCGTGCCACCGCCGCCGCCGCCCTCGGCTGCGTCCATACCGCAGGTGCTTCCAGCTCGCAACAAGCTGGCCGGTTGTGTGCACGCCCGGAAGGGTTGTGTGTGCGCTGCTGGTGCGGTCAGCCGCCGCACGCACACAAACGCAAACCACAGACACACAAACAGCACCAAGCGCAGGCCGAGGTTGCTCGTTGACGAAAATTACTTTATATTTTTCACAAATTGTCACAACTCACGATGACTGCCTTCTTTCTTTCAGCTTTCTCTTTCTTTCTCTCCTCTTTCCTGCCCTTCTCTCTCTCTCATATCCATCGGTGGAAGGTGGAACGCACGCGCAGCAGCACAGACCACGTTTTATCATTGTACACAAAACACAGCGCCTTAACGTGGGTGTGATGCACAGAAGAGACAACATTGAGACATTTGAACATCTGAAGAACGTCCTCTCTGAACGTGGGACAAACCCAGAAGAGTGAAACAAGGCAACAAGGTGGCGTGTGGAGAGCGCAGTGGAAGCAGAAAGCCATTCACTCAGCATGAGAGAGATGGGGACGAAGAAGCAGAAAGCAACGGAGCCAGCCACAGAGTCGAAGAACGAGAGAAGATTGACGAAGGGAAGCTGGCAGAAGAGCACAAGCAGAGCGCACCAGTGAGAGAAGAGTAGCAGCAGAGCACTAGAGCATGTTGCCCATTTCGAAAGCATGCGTCCGGTGTCCCTTCCGTTGCAGAGTTGCGCTAATCCCTTCTGTGGTGTGTGTCACCTCTGCTCGGTAATCTTAGCGGCGGCCAGTGCGCAGGTAGTACAGCGCGGCGAAGAACATCATGCGGTAAATGACAGCCATGGCAATGAGGATGCCAAAGTCTCGCCCAACACTGACATTTTCCATGTCATAGAGAGCAAGCACGTCCTCGCCGCGCGGCAGGATGGTGGAGTTGAAGTGGTTGCCATCAAACTCATTGTGCATAAAGATGCGGAACGAGTAGCGATGGAAGCCAATGTACGAGCCCCAAATCCAGTACGGTGGGATATTCTTCGGCAGCACAAAGAAACCCTACATTGTGTGTGAGGGGGGGGGGGTGTTCGTGGCATCAAGCAGGCAGTCGGTGAGTTAGTCAGTCAGTCAGTCAGTCAGTCAGTCAGTCAGTCGGTTGGGCTCTCATTGCTCGTCTGCGAGGCAGCCCAGCAACGCACTGTTCATGTTCAGAATACTACAACACAACACACAAGCGACCACACACAAACAACCACACACACACACACACACACACAGGCAGGCGCAGCGTGTACTCCGACTCACGCAGCAGAGCATGAAGAAGCCGTAGATGCCAGCGGCGAGGGCCAGTGCAGGCAGGAGCTGGGGCAGAAGCGACGCAACGAACGCCAGCATGCTCTCCGCTACAAACAGGCTGACAAAGAGGGCAAAGGTGAAGATGAAGAAGCCAGCCGCGCCACCATGTAGGCCCGCCATGAAGAACACAAACACGCTGGACAAGAAGGAGATGACAAGCAACCCTGGGATCGACATGAGGGAATCAGCAACCACGTGTGCAGCAACGGCGTAGTAGCCGTTCTTCCGCTCGCGCACAAACACCGCGTTATCCTCAATGAACACGGGCACCACTGCCACGAGACAAGAAGCACAAAGACAGAGCAGGACAGTGTACAGGAGTGCGCGTGGAGAAGTGCAACTTCAAAGGTGAGCCATTGAAACGTTGGGAAGGATCATGAAACAATCGGGGACAGCCAAACACCCAAACAAAACCACAAAGGAAAGGAAACGGCTTGCCTGCAGGCAACCAACATCCATAAAAGGAGCATGCCTGCCACACCTGCGATGCTCATGAAGACAAGGAAGGCGACGGTGAAGAACAGCAGGCTGATGCGATCCTGGGAGGGAAATACAGAGCGTCAGGTTCAACGAAGCGAAATGTGACATGGTAGTGGAGTGAGGGCACAGAAAAGAAATGGGTGAGGCAGGTCACGTTCAGCTGAACCCAGCCATACAAACGCAGACACGCGCGCACGCGTGCAAAGGCTCTGGTAGGCGAGCAGCAATAATCTCAGCATCACGCACACACACACGCACACACAAACACACAAGACACACACACACACACACAAACACACGCACACACACACACACACACACTCACAAACACGGTGCACACCTGGATGCTGTTGTGGTCATGGTCCATTTGCCAGTAGATGGTGCCGATGACAAAGCACAGCATCACAAACATGGCCAAACGCACCCAGAACACGCCTGCACGAGCACGACAAGGGCAAGTGAGATGCAACGAGCGACAGGAATAGAACCACCGCACGTTCTCAGACAAGCAAGTACATGCGTGTGTGTGTGTGTATGTGTGTCTGTGTGTGTGCCCAAGCGTCCGCATGTGCAAATTATCTCCTCCATCCGCTGCAATCAATGTCATCATCACCTGGGTTGCGCAAGTTGTCGAGGTTGCGGCGCTTGGAGAGATAGAACAGCTGCTTGAAGAAGCTGGCGGCGTAGCCCGTGCGAAGCGGCGCCTGGCTCTGCTTGCCGGCAAAGGCCTCGTGCACATCCTGCACCTCCGCATGCACAATCTTGCTCTGCTCGCTGCGGGAAAAGTCGTCGGCAAACTTGAAGTTGCGTTTGTGGATCTCGTCCTCGCTCATCTCTGCCGTTGCCTCAAAGTCCATGTTGATCAGCTGCGAGAGAACAAATTCGGAGGATGGGTTTGTGTTAACGAGAACGGGTGTGAATGCATGACAGAAAGAAAGCGGAAGAAAGATGAGATGTGTGTATGTGTGTTGTGTGTGTGTACACGTGTGCGTGTGTTTGTGTATGTGCACGTGTGTGTGTGTGTGTGTGTGTGTGTGTGTGTGTGTGTGTGTGTGTGTGTGTGTGTGTGTGTGTGTGTGTGTGTGTGTGTGTGTGTGTGTGTGTGGCGCGATATCTTGACAAAGCACGACCGCCCGAGCACTGGCTTGCGTCATTCACGAGGCAAACACGCACGCAAACACGCACACACACACACGCTCACACACACAGAAAACACACACACATACAACACACACAACTCACACACACACACACACAGCACACACAGAAAACACACACACACACACACACACACACACACAAATATGGAGTTGACCTGAAACGGACCCTGATGAAGAAGTCAGCTGGGTTGGTGTAGGGCGGGAGCGGGTAGCCGAGGTTGGCAAAGTAGTCCACTGCCTTGTTTGCCATACCGTTGTACACAACGCGGCCGCTGGCCAGGATCATCAACTTGTGGAACTGTGCATACAGCTCTTGAAATGGTGACAGAGAAAGGGGGGGGACGGGTGAGTGCCCAGTGGAAGGGTTAGAGTTCAGAATATCACTCTCATTCGCGCCTCCCAGTCTGTTTCATACACAGTTATGTGGTTGCACACACAGACACACATGTGCTGCATGCAGGCATGTTCCACATGTGTGCCCCACCTGAGTTTGGCTGGTGAACCGTGAAGATGACGGTGCGGCCCGTGGCAGCGAGATCGCCCAGGTACTCCACAATTTTCTGTGCACACGCCGCACAACCAGCAGGACGCAATTCCAGGTGGGGGGGGGTTAGCGTAACGTAGACATGATGTGGTGTGCATGCGATGTGATGGTTATGTACATTGACGGCGCGCAGCAATCAAGGTGGAAACGCCCAGTCCAACAAGACCAACAGGCACGCAAGTACGCAGCAAGTACACGTGCGCAGGGTCGAAACGTACGAAAGCCGATTCAGAATCGAGTCCCGATGTCGGCTCATCGAGAAAGAGGAGCGTCGGCTGGAATGGCGTGGTCAGGAACAAACAACAATCACGGAGCAGTTAAGGGGAGATGTAATGGTAGGTGTAACGGTACTGCGATGACACAGTGCCGCACGCGAGTACGCACGCACACACACACACGCACACACACAATCAGTGCTCGCTCACGTTCTTCAGCAGCTCAATGCCGATGCTGACACGTCGCTTCTGGCCGCCAGAGATCCCTTTCTTAAACACGTTGCCTGCAGGCAAAACATCGGCGTTGTTAGCACGGTGATGAACATCGAAAGGGAAACGATGGGCGGGAAAACAGAAGATAGAAAGGACAAACCGATCAGAAGCACACGTCATGAACGCACACACACACACACACACACACACACACACACACACACACACACACACACACACACACACACACCGATGGCGACGTGTTTGCAGACGTTGAGGCCCAAGATCTCAATGACGTTGTCTACAATCCTGCGACGCTCCTCCTTGTTGGCTGCCTCCATGGTTACGGCGGCAGAGAAGCGAAACGTCTCAAGCACGGTGAGCGTGCCGATCAAGGAGTCTTCCTGCTGCACATACGCGGCGTAGTGACGGAAGTTGCTGTCGCGACGCTGGGCGTTGACAAGCACATCGCCCTCAAGGCGCTGCTTCTTGGTGTTCTTCTTGCGATCAGCGAGCACGTCCAGCAGCGTCGTCTTGCCACTCCCTGATGAAAGGTGCGGGGGGGGGGGGTTTGGAACGAAAACAAGGGCGAGGGTCAATTCCAAGATCAAGGAGGCAACAACGATCAGATACATGCATACACACTCCCTCACTCACACACATGCACAAGCACCCACACACATGCATACACACTCACACACACACACACACACGCCCACTCACGCACATACCATACGTACACGCACATAGACACTCGCACACACGAACACGCACACACACACACACGCATGCACATGCACATTCATGCACAACAGACCTGAGGGTCCCATGATGGCGCAGATTTCGCCTGGTCGCACGGCTCCCGTGACATTATCCAGGATCTTCTTGCCTTTCGTGTCCTTCTTGTCCTTGTAGATGGTGCACGTGACCTCTTTCCAGGTGAGCGCCGTCTGATGTTCGGGCTTGACGTTGAGCAAGTCATCGCTGATGCGGTGCTCTCGCTGTGGCACGGGCGCCTGCTCATTCACATTGACCGTTACCGAGTCTTTGCCTTGATGTTTTCCTTGCTGCTGCTGCCTGTCGGTGGCGTCTGCTGCATCTGCATCCGTGTCGGTGTGATCAGCAGAGTGCCTAGAGGTGGCAAGCGTGGTGCTGCTTTGGCGCCGGCTTTCACGCCGGGATGCGGAGGCAATCTCTTCGTCAAGATCAATCACCTCCGTGCCGCTCTCCGTGAGCCTATCTCCCACGGGCGTCAGGCTGGGCAGCACAGGCACCACGTCTTCGGAGCCATTCTCGACCCCAGCGCCTGATCCATTCCTATCTGCCTCCTTTGCTGTGCCACGCACGTCCTCGTCCTCGCCACTGCGGCCCATATCCGATGTTGATGCGCTTGACTCTGCGCTGCTCAAGCAAGGGCGGTGATCTGATCTTAGTGTTGTCGCCTGTTGCTTCGTTGATTGATGTGCTGTGGGGAATGACACACTGATGCTGCTGCTGCTTCGCTCATTGTAACATAAATGACGGTGGGGCGTTGTTTGCTTGCGCATGCGCCATCAGCCAGTGCCGTTGCGGCATCACGGGGCAGTTGCATTTCATGCCCCCAAAGTCGCAAATTTTATTTGTTTTCCTCCTTTGCGTTCTGGGCGCGTGCTGTGCATCCACACGTTAGCACAAGAAGCGTGAAGGTAAAACACGGCAAGCACACCCAATGGTTCGAAGAAAGAAAGCTAGCTCCTCTGCACCTCTCCTGCGAAGGAGAAGGCGACGGCACCGGCAATCATGGTATGTTGGAGGCGGAGGTCGTTGCTTGCAAGCAACAAGTCTGCGAAATAGCCCGGTTTGATGCGTCCGACACGTGGAATGCGCGCGACCCGCGCCGGTGTGGCGCTCAGCATGTCGCACGCGGCTGCCACGTTCTGGCCTTGTTCGTTCACGAGAAAGCGGAGACAGTCCCACAACGACAGGCAGCTACCCGCCAACGTCGTTGTGCCCTGGTCAAGTGCGCATCACGCATTGGGTGTGCATGTGGCAGTGTGGTGAGAACGCAACACCGAGGCGCTGACCGTGCGTGTGTGTGTGTGTGCATGCCTGTGTGGGTTGAAACATATGGTGCAGCTCGCACAACAAGACAGACTGTGTAGAGCAGTGCCGCCATACACACAAACACGCAACATCCACACACACACACACACACACACACACACACACACACACACACACACACACACACACACACACACACACACACACGCACACACACACACACACGCACACACGCACACACGCAACATCCAATAATACGCACACACGCGCGCGCAAACCACATGCACACGCACGCACAAGATTCACCCATGCGTGTATGCGTACCTCGACGTAGACGCCCTTGCCCTTTGGTCCAACCTCCAATTCGCGGCCGCAGTACGCGCTCTTGAGCCCAGGCTCGCCATGCAGGATGTTGTCTGGCGCCGCCAAGTGCCCAGAGACGCAAGGGCGCAGTGAGTGGGTGTAGGAGCACGATCGAGGGGATAACAAGGCAGCCGTTGCAACTGACACAGAGTGCCCACAGCCAAAGCAAGTATCTTGCCGCCAACACACACGCACACACGTACCTGTGATGAAAGCGACAGCTGCCGGTGTTCGGGCAGAGAGGAGGCCTGCGACTGTCAATGTGTCCACGTGCAGGCCATCACCAATCACCTACACACACACACACACACACGCCAAGCGGTGGCGCAATGGCAGGGTAGAATACATCAGTGACGATGCGCAGCAGCGAAGCGACTGCTCATTACCCTTACGCGAATGCAGCCATGCAAAATCAAGGGAGTACAGGGCAGAAAAGGGTCTCTGCAGTGCAACGCACCTCAACTGTGGGAGGGTGCAGGCCAGCGAAAGTCGGGTTGTTGGGGAACGAGCGGCAAAGGCCAAAGTTGACCAGTGACGTGTCTCTGTCAACACACACAAATATCAGTGTGCGGTGTGTGTGTGTGTGTGTGCGTGTGCGTGTGCGCGCGTGTGCGTGTGCGTGTGCGTGTGTGTGTGTGTGTGTGTGCGTGTGCGTGTGCGTGTGTGCATATGAAAGCACGATTAACGATCAGCTTGAAACGATCAAAGCAAGGACGAAGGTGGAGTGGATGCATCGTGGGCGTACCTGTGGTGGAATTTGCTGACATTGAAGATGTGGGTAATGTGTGGCGTACTATCTGTACAACAACAAACAAACATAACGACCATCAGCTGTCAGCCATAAGTTGCCGGTGCACCAGGTTGAACACGCCGCAGCTACAACAAGGCAACAAGGCAACACGCGCACACACACACACATACACACATACACACACACATACACACACACACATACACACACACACATACACACACACACACACATACACACCATTGTATTCGCTGGCGGTGCGGAGGGCTGCGACGATGTCGTCGGCGGTGGCGTGCTTGTCGTGACCCAGGGCAACGCGGATTCCCCGGTCCAAAAGCAGCCTGAGACCATAGCCACGCACGCGCGCACGGAAGAAGATCAGGTCAGGGTGATCTGCGCTTCTAAAAACACACACACACATACATGCACACATGCACATATACACACATGTACGTACACACATGCACACACACACACACACACGTACGCACGCACGTGTGTCACCTGGTGCGGCGGAAATCTGATTGCGGTTCCATGGACGGGGAGATGGTCATGACCTTCATATGGCCCTGACACCTGACAGCCCCGCGCATTCACAGAAGATGCGTGTCAGTTGGCGCAGTGTTGCACAACAAAGACACGCACTCAAACCTTGATGCAAGGGCAGGCGGTCACATGTGAACGCGTCCAACGACAACTAGGCGTGGAAGGTGGTATGCGTACATGTCAACAATCTCCGTGAATTCCTCCAGGGACGGGTTGAGGTTTTGATTGGGAAGAGCGCCCGCATCCCGGATGACAGGGCCCTCTGCGAGAGCAAGAGGTAACGCACAGTGGCACGTGAGAGAGCAGACATGGCGTCAACTTGCACATACGTGTACGTGCGTGTGCGTGTGTGTGTGTGTGTGTGTTCTCGCAGTTGCACGTGTGTGGAAGCGCTTGCAGCACACATCCACTGTTGCGCCAGCAAGCGCAGCCCATCGTCAGCTACCTGCGTGGATGCCAGCACAGCGAGTGTGTCCCGGTTTCGGCTTGGCTATCACAGGCAACAAGGCGTCCAAGCTAGCGGCGTAGGATTCGCGGTCCATAGGCAGCAGTGACGCCAGCACGGTGGTGACGCCATTCGCTGGCAGCTTGCTCAATGTAAACTCGGGGTTTGTCCATGAATACGCCACATCATGTGACCCGCCCACGCCGTGGTTGTGAATGTCAACTGCACCGCACAACGCGCGTGTGTGTCAGCGCGAGCGTATGTATGTGTGCATGTGTGTCAGCGTGAGCGTATGTATGTGTGTGTCAGCCTGTGTGTGTGTGCGTGTGTCATCATGTGTGGGTGTCAATGTGTTGACCGTGCCGTTACGTCTATGACATGATGCACTCGATACCTCTGTCTCATTCTCTCTCCCCCCCCCCCTTTCAAAAACCCCTCTCCCCCGCTCTTTTATTGTCACTGACCAAAGCCCGGAAGCAGGAGCGGTGCACTCAGGGTGACTGCGCTGTCCTTTGGCTTCTCCGTACCGACCGTGCTGATCATGCCATGCTCATCCACGGTCACATACACCGGTCCCTCTGCATGTGTTCAAATGCCAGCAATTTGAGCAGCCGTACAAGCCACACGCACGAACAGCAGAGCGCAAAAACAGCAAAATCACCATAGAGACGCAATGTCTGTGCAAGTCGCCGCAACCAACCGACCTTGAAAGACGCCATCACCAAGCACAGCGCCCTCCGTTGCTTCAACAACCACCAACACCATCGTGTGTGTGCGGCGGGTGTTGTTCGGTGAGCAGTGCGCTGTTGATGCTGAAAATTATGAACATCTCCATATATTTCTCCCAACTCTGGATGGCGCCGAAACCCACGACGACGACTTGCCGCACAACACCAAACACGAGCACCAGCACCACACCACCACCAGCATGCACTACACACCCGAGGGTGCAGAGGCGCTCAACGCGCTGCTGCTGGTTGTGCAAGGCGAAGCCGAAAACGTACTCAAGTCAATGCTGCCAGAGTTCTCGCCGAGAGCAGTGGCAGCAACAGCCGCACCAGCCACTGCTGCCAGTGACCACGATGTGGATGCCGATGCCAATGGTGATGGCGCCGATGCCGATGGCGAGAAGAAGCCCAAGAAGACGCAACAGGAAACGGAGGAACACAGGCCAGCGCCAACAGTCAAGGCGTCGTCATTCTACGGCGCTCGGTCCAAGACACGGGCAAGTGCACCAACCAACGAACAGCGCGCTGACAGCACGGCAAAACGAACAGCAGCGCAGGCCACAGCTGCAGCCTCGGCTCCAAAGTCCCCGAAGGCTCGCGTGTCCAAGCGATTGGGTAGACCCGTCCACACTTCGCCGGCTGTCAACAGCCCGCGTGTCAACGACAGCATCGACAGTCCCGCTGCCAAGCGCAACAAGGCCGGTACCAGCACAGGCACGGGCACGGGCACGCATGCGTCCCCCGCCCCGGCATCAGGCGATGCATACGACTTTGATGTTGCAGATACACCATCTCCCGCTCAAACGACACCGCGTGCGTTCCGGCGAACCGCGCGCAAGGGCCTGCAACTGAGAGGTACGTCTTCGCGTGCGTGTACACATGGCTGTGCGACAGCGTGCCAGCGTGAACACGAATAAGAGTACGGCACATACGCGTGTGCTTTGATGATGATCCATTGTCTTTTATTACTCTCTGTGTGGGTATGTGTGTATGTATCTGTGTATGTGTTCATGTGCGTGTGTGCGGGTATGTGTTCATGTGTTCATGTGTGTCCGTGTGTTTGTATGTGTGTAGTGTGTTTGTGTTTGTGTGTGTGTGTGTGCATGTGTCGCTCATTTCCGTTATCCGTCCTTGTGTCTTTGCCAGGTGGTCGACAGCGGACAAAGGCAACACATGCAGACCTGTTCAGTGACCTCGCTTGAGGTGGCTTGCACCAAGGGCATGGCAAGCACGCCTGGAAATTGTTATAGTGACATGACGTATCGACGCAAAAGTTCACATCAGTTGACCGCCGTCAAGTGTCTGCATTGTTACGGACCACCAGATGCTGCTCATTGGATCGTTATTGGCGTGCTTTATTGGTTGGAGTGAGAAGGGCAAGTGGGCAGTCACATGCCACAGCAACAGCAGCAACAGCAGCAACAGCGGTAGCAGCGTCACTGAAATGGCTACGCGCATGTATGCACGTGCGTGTTTATGCGAGCTGGCGCCTACAGGCCGAGGTCCTTTGCAAGCATGGCCGCCGCAATGTTGTGGTATTGGCTCCTGTTATCACAAAGTGGTTGCGTTGGTTATGGGTGCGTCTATGCGAGTTAGTAAACACAAGATAAGTAAGTCACG